GCCATAAAAAGAAATGAAATTGAGTTATTTGTAGTGAGGTGGATGGGCCTAGAGTCTGTCATACAGAGTGAAGTAAGTCAGAAAGAGAAAGACAAATACTGTATGCTAACACATATATATGGAATCTAAAAAAAAGGTTCTGAAGAACCTAGGGGCAGGAGAGGAATAAAGGCACAGATGTAGAGAATGGACTTGAGGGGAAGGGTAAGCTGGGACAAAGTGAGAGAGTCGCATGGAGTTATCTATACTACCAAATGTAAAATAGCTAGCTAGTGGGAAGCAACCACATAGCACAGGGAGATCAGCTCAGTGCTTTGTGACCACCTAGTGGGGTGGGATAGGGAGGGTGGGAGGGAGATGCAAGAGGGAGGAGATATGGGGATGTATGTATATGTATAGCTGATTCAGTTTGTTATAAAGCAGAAACTAACACACCATTATAAAGCAATTATACTCCATAAAGATGTTAAAAAAATAAAAGTATCAAAGTTATCATTTATTTTCCCCATAAGTTTTGTAGCCAGTAAAACATATTATTGATAATCATATATTTTAACTATAAAAGTTTATGATTTTTTAAACTATGAGATTTTCCAGCCGTCCTTTAATGTAGCTGGTGGGTTTTTTTCAATGAGTTTAAATCTATGTGTCATGTCTTATACACAGTCCATATACTTGTTAAGCGCACTGTGAGACCTCAGCTCTAGATAAGAGGTGTCCTGAGCCAAGGGCTTAAATACTAAGTGAGGCCACCTTGTGAATCAACTGAGTACCTCTCAAAAGCACTTACAAAACCCTCTCAGGAATGCCATGCTCTTGCACACTCTTGATTGGCTCAGGATTAACACCTCCACCTCCCCAAGCTGGGCCACCACTAGCCGCATTCAGCTGCACAGGTCCTGACCCTTCTGTGTGGAAGGTAGAGATGGGAGGCTTTGGTGCCGTGGCCGGCTGACCTCTCCTGTGTGGAAGCAGCTCATCTGCTCTGCTGTGGGAAAGCACGAACATTCTGAGAGAAGCAGGGACAAGCAAGGGAAAGAAGGCTCTGACAGAATTTGATCCTGGCTCCATGTGCCCAGAGGCCAGATACCTCCCTGCACCAGCCCCCCACAGTTACAGGAGTGACTCAGTTCTCTTTAAAACGTGTCAAAATACGCCTCTCTTTGAATTACAGAAATGAGGATGTGTCTAGAGCCTGGCACTGCTTTTGGTCACTCCATGAGCACTCCAGTGTCATGAATCACCAGCTGTCAGGAAGCCAAAAAGAGTGGGCTCCCAGGGTCAGGCGGCCCCTAGAGAATGGGGGCACCAGCACACATTCTTCTGAGATGTCCGCCCTCCTAAGCTTTGGGGTAAGTGGGGATGCCATCCTGGCCCAGCACCTCTTAACTTTCACCTGTTTCTTTTCTTTTCTTTAGAAATCATAGCAAAACTACTATACTGGGAGTTTACAAGTCATAGGAAAATCTCTTTTACTGCTTGCAGAATTTGAGATGTGGTATTATAAATATAAAGAAACCATCTACTAATATGTATTTCAATGTTAAACTAAGACTTTCTTATTGTTGTTACTATCAAGAATATTAATAAACAAAAAGAAAACACTCTGCCCTTTGGGGGTCCAAGGGCAAAGAAACATGCATCCAAGGAAGCAAAATGAAACCAAGAAGCCATAGATCCAGATGATTTGTTTCATAAGTGTGTGTGTGTGTGTGTGTGCATATATAAACATATACAAATATGTATACACGAACCAACAAAAATGTAACATAGGGATTATATACATACAATTCCTTTTTAGTGTGAGCACTTAAGAAGGTGGCTCTTCATGTTAACAGCTTGATTGAGGACAGCTTGGGGAGAAATTATGCCACACTTAACAAGTTTTTATGCTTTTGTTCTATTTACGTAGGAGCTTCCTTCCAGGTCTTGTTTCATAACAAATATTGGCAGAGTTTAGATAGTGTTTCTTAAAAATTATCATAAATTGTGAATAATGAAATAGAGTCATCCCTCAGTATCCCCGGGGAAATGGTCCCAGGAACACCCCCCCAACCCCTGCCACCTCGGATACCAAACTCTGCAGATGCTCAAGGCACTTATATAAGATGTCATTAGTAGTATTTGCATATAATAAACGCACATCCTCCTGTATACTTTAAATCATCTCTAGGTTACTTATAATAGCTAATACAATGTAAACGCTATGTAAGTAGTTGCCAGGTGAGGCAAATTCAAGTTTTGCTTTTTGAAACTTTTTGGAATTGTTTTTCCCCAACATTTTCAATACACATTGGACTGTATCCGTGGATTCAGAACCGTGGATATGGAGGGCCGACTGTAAACAAACTTGATAAATAAGCACTAAGAAATGATAAATGGGAGCTAAATTGTAGATCAAAGAGACAACTATGTTGCAATAGTATGTGCGGTTTCATTCTAGCTGGATAACTGCTTTAATTCAATGTCTCTCTTTGACCCTGATAAAGGAGCTGAGGAATGACATGGATTCTAACAGGTTACTCAGTGACTTTAAAAGAGGTGTCCTCATAGGGATCAGACCAGTGTCTCGATCTAATTTCTAACTGTAAAAATGATGTTTATTTGCCATATTATATATATATATATAATAGTTATAAATGTGTAAATAAAACTCTAAGATCCTTTTTATAGAGAACAGCTCCTAGGGAGGAGAAATTAAGACTGTGGCCATCAAAAGCCAAACAGCCTGCTATACACAAATGTTCAGGTTTTCCTTTGAAGGTGGCAACAACCTTAAACCCAAGTCTTTTTGTGATTATGTATATTGCCCAACAGTGTGGCATAGAGACATTCCCCCTTCTTTCAAAAAGGGAGGCTTTATAGTCATTTCTTGATATTTCATGCCAAAGATAGTGGTAGCTTATCTTTATAAAATCGTACCTGAGTATGAGAGAAATGCTCTAAAAATTCACAGTCTTTGAAAATAAAAAATAAAGATCTTAAGTCAGGAGAAACTGGAAAACTGTTCAGCTGTTCCATGTTGACCCCTGCTCAGAAAACTTTCTTGTTCTCCAGATAATGCAGGGAATCTGCACTGCACTCCTTGGACAGATATTTATTTGTTCATCGCTTGAAAAGCCTCATATATGTATGGGATTATTCATAACTGGTCACATGTATTAATTTTTAAATACTTTTCCAGTTCCTTCTGGGTTAGAGAGGCATCACATTACAGTGGAAAGAACAAGAAACGGATAGACTGACAGACATGGAAAGAGGGAGCAAGGGGCAGCAAAGGGGAAATGAATTCATTATGACACAGATGTAAAATTCCCTGGTTAAGAACAATGCAGCATTAAAAATATAAATGTAAAGGTCTGGTTTGGTACTTTTCCATTAATTTTTCAAAGGTTTTGACCTCCTAAAGAAAAATTTCTGACTAAAAGGGGGTTTCCTCACCACTCAGTTTTCTTCTTCGGCTGGGTCCTACAGCGAAACAGCAATCCTATGTTTGGCCCTTCAGACAGTTGCCATGGAAATGAGAGTGGCAAACACTTTCAGCTTTCTGGCTTCACTGTGGGATCCAGTGTAGAACATGATTAAGTTGTCAGAGAACCACCTTAAGTCAAGTTTTACCTGATAACTAAGAGTTTCCAGAAAAATGGTGACACATATGGGAAGGAAAATAGATTGCTTAACTCACTCTGAAAAATCCCTTTTGATTCATAGACTGTCTACATGATTGAAACATAAGAAACCATCCCTTTCTCTAATCAGACACTTCTCAATTCACAGACTCATACCTCAGGGGGCAAATAAAACCTCCCTGTGCTTGCATGAGGAGGAATCACATTAACAAAAGGAAAATAGGGCTCCTGAGTGCTGAAGAAATGAGAAAGCAAGATGCTAAATTAGGGGGAGAGGAGTGACAGAGGAAATGAGAGGGAGGGAATCAAATGCTGTTTAAACCATTTTTAAGGAAAATTGCATATCTTATTTGCCAAAAAAAAATTACTCTGGATGTCAAAGAACACTAGCTTTTCATAGCTGGGACCAGAGATGACTGGGAGCTTGAGGGGCTGTACTGAAATGGACTTGAAACTTTCTTTGTGCCATTTGTCCCCAGCAAACAAGATCTGGCTGCTCTGGGAAAACTCTCTAGCTATCACTATGAATCCATTGAGAAGTTCTCTTCCACATCACTGACCCCTAATGAAGCTCTATTGGATTGAGTAAGGTCAGTGGTTTTTATATTGGGATTAAAGAGGAGGACAGACCACTCCATGTAGCACAATGGCTACAAACGAAAGAACTGATTGGCAGAAGCCAATACTTAGAGAGCTACTTGGAAGAAGACTTTCCAGATATTGGTGGAATTGGAAAAAGGTGCAACTTGAAAGTATACACTCTATCTTCCATTTGGGATTTTTTAGTTTTTGTAGTTAAAAATATCCCTTCACTGGGACTTCCCTGGTGGTCCAGTGGGTAAGACCTCACGTTCCCAGTGCAGGGGGCCTGCGTTCAATCCCTGATCAGGGAACTAGATCCCGCATGCATGCCACAACTAAGAAGTTTGCATGCCACAACTAAGACCTGGTGCAGCCAAAAAATAAATAATAAATAAATAAATATTTTTAAAAATACCCCTTCACCTGTATACTTGCTGGAGAGTGTGTAAATTATTACAACCACTTTGGAGATCAATTAGGAAATATCTAGAAAAGTTGAAGATGCAGATTTCACACAACCCAGCAATTTTACTACTAGGTGGCTACAATGGAGTGAATTGTGTCTGCCCAAAATTCATAAGTTGAAGCCTTAACCCCCATGGGACTGTATCTGGAGATAGGGCCCTCAGTAGGTAATTAAGGTTAGATGAGATCATAAGGGTGGGACCCTAAACTGATATGATAAGAAGAGGTGAAAAGAGACCTCTTTCTCCTTCTATCTGCCTTGTGAGAACAGAGTTAGAACGTGACCATCTACAATTCAGGGAGAGAGCTTTCACCAGGATCCAACCAGGCTGACACCCTGATCTTGGACTCCCAGCCTCTGGAACTGTGAGAAAATGAATTTTTGCTGTTTAAACCACCCAGTCTATGGTATTTCATTATGGCAGCCGAAGATAAGATAGTGGCTATCCTAGAAAAGCTCTTATGCATAAGCATGAAAGAAATATAAAGATGTTCACGAGACTATTGTTCCTGATAGTAAAAATAAGGAACCAATCTGACTTCCAGTAGAGAAATAAATAAACTGTTCGTTCACATAACAGGATTCTATAGAGAAGTTGAAATGAACAATATTAACATGTACCAATGTAACTAAATCTAAACAATATAATGTCACGTTTAAAAAAATCAAGCTGTCAAAGGATACTTACATATGCTATCATGTAATATTTGAAACACCCAAAACAATAGTTTATAACTTTAGAGGTACATACTTATATAGTTAACAAACATATACCTGGAAATGATACACACCAACGACTTCTGACAAGGGAGGGAAAAGTGATACCGGAGGCAAGGGGGTGATTTTTGCTATATCTGTAGTGTTTTATTTTTTAATACGAAATGAAATTTGTGCCAGTTTCAGCAGATTGTTCACATCTTTTAAATCTGGGTGGTAAATGCATGGTAGCTGTTAATTAATTTTCTGTAGGTTTCACATATTTCATAAATAAAAAGATGTTTTCCCTTATCATCTGGGTTTTCAGCAGTACAATAGTACATTTTAGACAGTTTTCTTATCTACCTTTTATATATGCTGTAATAGAAAGCCCAGAGAAATTAGCCAAAATGGACAAAGTGTCCAATCTAGTTAAATGGTAACTTAAGAATTAGAAAGTAGTTTTCTGTCCTGTTCCATAGTGTACCCTGTATGTCTGTTAATTATGTGCTACAGAGACGAGGACTCCAACTTTGTCATCTAAGCCAGAAATAATCCAAATCATGCCCAACTGTGGAAGAGCATGTTTGAACCCACTGCACCCTTCCTGTCCCCCAAATCATACTCCACCGTTGATGTGTTACCTATTTTACTTACTCACAGGCATCAGCCCTCCTTAGGAGGGTTCAGATTTTCCAGTTTTTTTTTAAAAAGATATAAGGAAGTAAGACTACTGAGCTAGAAATTTTCCAAAACAATTGAAAAGTTGGCAGAAGCTTTAAAATGGAGGTTTACTGATTATAATTAATTTTGGCTACAAGATTTTAATTAGGACATTTAAATTCTTTGTAAGATAGAATTTTAGTGCTGTTCAACATAGATTTATAGCATGAGAATGAGTAGTCACTTATACTGAATTTCCAAATTAATCTAAATAATTGAAATTTTAAAAAATAGGTGACATGAAGAATTCTGCAATATAATTCTGAAATAATAAGTAGAAAATATCCAGGGACATTAAGAATAAGATTTGTTGAGACTTCCCTAGTAGAGCAGTGGTTAAGACTCCATGTTCTAAATGCAGGCAGCCTGGGTTCAATCTCTGGTCAGGGAACTAGATCCCACATGCATGCTGCGACTAAGGAGACCATGAGCCACAACTAAGGGTTCACATGCCACAACTAAGGAGCCTGCGTGCTGCAACTAAGGAACCCTCCTGCTGCAAATAAGACCTGGCACAATCAGATAAATAAATAAGTTAATATTAAAATAAACATATATGTATATATAAATTTTTAAAAAGAATAAGATTTTGTTTCTGCAACACCTAACGTATCCAGACCAAAAAAAAAAAAAAATTGTTTATCAGATGCTCTATATTATGTTTTACACAGTTGGGGTAAAGAATTTTGGCTGCATTAATTAGGTAGTGTCAACCCACTTCAGACACCTGATGGTATTATTTAACCTACATTTCATAAAAAATAAATACGTAAATAAAAAGGACTTGAAGGAAGACAACTTATTTTGAGAAATAATGACTAAATATGCAAGTTATGCATAGTTTCATACTACAAATTTACCAAAAATACACAGTTGGGGGAAATGTGGTATTATTCACACACAGTGGCTAGTACACACACACACACACACACACATCCTATGTTTAGCCACCTATAGGTAAGAAAATGGTCTCTACTCTTGCTCAAATCAGATTGCTGTCTTTTTTTTTTCATTGTCTGGATTTTGATGGTTCTCCAAAGTGTGTCCCATAGTATTCTCATCTGTTTCTTCCATCGTCAGAGCCCTCATCTCTATTTCCAAAAAAAACAAAAAACAAAAATAGCTTAGCCTCCTGCTTATCTTATTGTTCAAAATTTATTTTCTTAATTCTATCTTGATAATTAGTATTCCTGAAACGTTCTTTCCTTTCAACGTGCTTGGTAAAACGTAGTTGTGCTCTGTGTCCCCCCGCTGGATGCCTCTGTGATATTCCCCTGCTGGGTTGATGGAAGGGATGTTTTAACTTCTAGTCCTTTGGGCAGGAAGAGGGCCCCTATGATTGGGTTAGCAGTGAAAACATGAAGGCCCTGACACTGCTTCCACCCAACCATCCGACACTCCTCAGGGCACAGCAGTTCAAGAGTGTTTAGTCAATGATAGTATGGGGTTGCTACTCACATTTATAGGTTTTTACTTCTTAATTTTTATATGGTTTGATATTCGATTTATCCACAATATATTCCTAAGAGAAGTAAAAGGTACTTACATATTTCTAATAAAAACGCAGAAGGAAATAATATAATCAGGGCACCTATATATTTTCCCAATAGCTTATAATTAAAGGACCCCATTTCCAGGACATAATTTATTTTGACTATAAGTGTTTCTTTGTTTATATATATTTAATTCTTTTGTATGTCACTTTTTTGCAAACAGAGAGTTATACAACTGTGTTATTAACTCTTTTGTTAAGTGTGAAGAAAGTGTTCCATTCTCAACTAAACTGGAGCTAGAAAAAATTGTTTCATTTTTGAAGACTTCACAGCCTGTGTGTGACTATCCACTACACAACCCAAAAGATGCTAAGGTATACAGTGGTAGCAGCAGCCTTCCTTCCTTTTTAGTGTTCTACTGTGGAATGCTTATTAATATTGGACGCTGAGTTTATACTTAAGCAGATTATATTGACTTCTATTTCTAATTCATTTTTATAGTAGCTTCCTAACCAAGTTTTAAATGCAATTGAATTTTCTTCTTTTTATTTAAATTATAAACTTCATGTTCATAAAAATTCAAACCATATATAGGTATGGTGTATAAAAAGCAAACATCTTCACCCTCTCCTAAATCACACTGTCCTCTCCCAGAAGTAACCATTGTTAACAGTTTAGGGAGTCCCATTTTGTCATTTTTACATGAAATAATTGAATTCTTACCTCAGATGGAGGAAAATGTCAAATATCTTCAAAATTGGGTTGGAGGGAAAAAAAGTCTTTTTAAAAAATCTTCAAATAATATATTTTCCCCTGATAATTCCATGGCTTACATTATGAGTAGCATCAGATTTGGTTTTAAGAGAAACTCCTGACTTTTCATTAACATAAATAATTAGTTACCAAGGAAGTGGGTTCAAGAATAATACAGTTTCTGTAAACTTTTCCCCAAATTGTGCTAGATAAATTACATCTTTAACTTTGATCTTTCTTTAAATCTTTCACTAATTTAGGTCAAACTATCAGAATGAGAATAAATCAAACCACACCTTTACTCACCAAACTGAGACAAGACCTCAACGCCCTCTAGTGGAGTGACCTCTCCATGTTCCATCATATGGGACCAACCCTCTGATTCCAGTGGGTAAGATGAATTGATACAAGCTCTTCATATTAGAATTGTACTTCCTTCTTTCATTCATTTAATTAATATTTAAACTTGTATTTTAAATTTTCTGGTTAAAATGAACCATCACCAAGAACACAAGGGAAAATATTGGGGGGGGATCATGCCCATATATAAAATATCAATTAATAACTTTTATCACTATAATTATCTCGGATCTTCCAAGTTATCTGCTTGTCTCGACTGCCTACTCTTGGCCATATCATGACTCTCTACCATTGAATCTACAAAGACTTGAATCTATTCCTTTGTTTAAAAAATATATCTTTTTCTTTAAGTTCATTTCTCCAGATGTTATCACTTCCCTTAAGTATTTCTTCATTAATTTTTCCAAACAACTGCAAAATAACCACTGGATTCATTTTTCTGCTTTTCTCCCTCTGAGAATACAGATTATCAGCCTCTCCCATTTATAATACCTGTTCCAAGGAATGATGAGAGCAGCAGAGCATAGTAGTTAAGAGCAGAAGGTGGAGCTAGAGGCCCTGACTCAAAGTCCAGAGGAGCCATTTACTGTCCATGTGATGCTGGGCTAGTCATTTAAACCCTCAGTGTCTCAGTTTCCTCATCTGTAAAATTCAGAATGATGATAATAGTATCCAAAAAGCATAGGACTTAATAAGAAAATCCATGTAAAAGAGGTAGAACAGTGCCTAACACATAATAAGCGCTCAATGACTATTACTTAATATTGCTATTTCATCAGAGTCTTATGAATAAATAATAAGGTAGCCTAAATGAAAGATTTGAATCCAGTCCTAAATGCAGCTATTCACTAGTCAGGCTCTCACCATCCCTTGTTTACATGATTGCAGTAGCCTCCTAACAGACCTTTAGGCCAGCAGTCTCTCCCAATTATAGTCCACTGTCATCGGTCTGGTTACGGAACTGACCTAGGGTCTGCTTGCCTACTGCACAGCAGAGCCAAATTATTGACACTGGGTTGTGGTGAAAGAAAGTACAGTGTTTATTTGCAGGGATCCAAGCAAGGAGTACAGGCAACTCATACTCAAAAGATCCAAACTCCCCAGTGGCTTTCAGGGAAAGGTTTTTAAAGGCAACATTTCAGGTGAGGACTGCAGGGTGCATGGCTTTCTTCTGATTGGTTGGTGGTGAGGTAACATGGTGATGTTTCAGGAATCTTAATCATCAACTTTCTGGTTCCAACCAGTCTGGAGTCTAGTGCTTGTGCTCAGCAAGAAGTCACCATCCTCCATCTGGTGGGGGTGGGGTCCTTAGCTCCTGCAGAACAGCTCAAAGATATGTATAAGATTGTTATGTATATCCCTAATTAGTAACTGTTTAGGTCCGCTCTTTGGAACTCAGCAGCGGCCCAGGAGACTAAAGCCTTTTTCTACAAACAAGAAATGGGCAGAAGGGCTTTTGTACCTGGGAGGGCCCCTTAGGGTCCTGCTCAGTTTCAATCCCCCCTTTCCTCTGATACTCCTCAATCCTGAGGGGAACAGGTATGGGACAAGAAAGGGAATAAAGTTTTGGATAGAAAGGTTAATCGTCAACTCAGCAGGGGAACTCGGTTTTAGGGCGACTCAGTTTCAGATTTATTTTCCTAAAAATAATGTTGACATTTCTGGTTCAGGATATGATGAACTAATCTTCCTGCTGAAAACAACTGTAAAAGCTAATAGGTGAAACAACTGCGTGAAGGAACTGAAAAGCACCCAGTTCGGGTAGGATTGGAAAGGAAAGACTACAATCCTTGAGAGAAGAGAAGTACTGGAGTGCAGGTCCGCACTCACCATGACTTTCCCCTGAGGGCATTTTCTAATTCACAAAATAGGGGAAATAGGCCCCAAGCAGAAAGGTAGGAATCTTAATTGGGCTCAGGGGAAGTAGGTTGGAATCTGGGGCTGCCTAAGTGTCTAGGACTTGAGAGGAAAAATTATAGATAACAGGGATTCAATCAAGGTGGAGTGAAATGAGAAAATTGTCCAAATCCCCCAAGTTTACCCCCTCATTGGCTAACTCCTTAGTTACACATGCCCAGGGTGAGACCCCAAAAACCTCAGCAGAAAATAGCATCAGAGAGAACAAAAGAACTGAGCAAAAGTTTAATTAAATAGCTGTGCAATGTTGCAAAGATTGAAATTTGAGTTCAAGCCCAGGCAAGATGAAGGAAGGCAGGGGGTGTCGATAAATACCCAGGGCTTTCAGTCAAAACGTGGAAGTACTGTATCCTGTGAGTAAGGACAAACCTAAAATATAAAAACCTTGATAATAACTAAAACCATCTCTCAAAAGAATTAAAATAATCCTTCTGTATTTTACATACCTACTGGAAGAAAACTTAATCTTCTGTGGAGGAATATGATAGCATTTATAGCCTCTCCAATTTTTCATCCATAATACCTGGCTAAAAAAATAAACCCAAATAACTAAAAGCCATAATTTAAAATAACAATAAAAATAGACCTAGGGATAATTAAGATATTGAAGCAATCAGACGGGGACTTTAAAATAAAAATAATAAATGGGTTCAATAAAACAGAGGAAAATACAGAGAATTTCTACAGAGACCTGGAATCTATTAGATATGGTAGAACAGAGACCTTCTGGTAAACTGGAAAACAAGTAAGTAAACTATACTTAGTTTGAAGCAGAAAGAGAAAAAGGGATAGAAAATACAAAAAAGAATGTAAGAGTTATATGAAGAATAGTGATACAGTCTAACATGCACGTAATTAGAGTCCTAGAAATGGACAGGAAATGATAGTTCAGAAAAAACATTTGAAGAAATACTGGCTAAAAATGTTTCAAAGTTGATAAAAGACATTAAACCACAGAATCCAGACACTGTGAACCTCAAGTAGAATAAAAGTATAAAGAAAACCACACCTGGCTACATCAGAGTTAAGCTGCTAATAACCAAGAAAAACAGAAAAATCTTGAAGCACTCAGAGGGGAAAAAAACCACACATTACCTTCAAAGAAGCAACAATAAAGCTGTAAGCTTACTTTTCAACAAAAATGATGGAAATCAGAACATAATGGAATGGCATTAAAATGCTAAAAGAACAAAAAAACCTTTCTACCTTCTCACCTAGAATTCTGTACACAGTAAAAATATTATTAAAAAAAAGAAGGCAAAAATTAAAGCCTTTTCAGACAAGCAAAAGCTGAGCTTTTCACCAGTAGATCTTTACCACAACAAATACTAAAGAGTTATAAAGGCTGAAGAAAATGATCCTAGATGGAACCACTGGCTTGCATAAAGGAATGAAGAGCACCAGAAACATTATGTGGGTAATCTAAATGAATACAGACTGGTTTATAAAAGACAAATAATTATAATATCTTGTAGGGATTTAAATACATATAGAAGTAAAATATATGACAATAGCCAATAAAAGAGAGAGATAAGTGGAGTTAAACTTCTTTTGATTATCATTATAATGTAAAATTCTATTTGGGGGAATTGGTAAAAGTACTAATTAAAGGAAAACTGTAATAAGTCTAGGATGCAAGTTGTATTCTATTATTACTTAATAAACCACCCCAAAATTTACTGGTTCAGCAAAATCACAGCATTTATTTTGCTTACAAATCTGCAGTTTAGGCAGAGTTCAGTGGGGACATCTTGTCTTCAGTGGGGACATCTTGTCTTTACTCGGAATCATCTAGGATGGCTCAAAGTCTGGATGCTGGAAGCATCTGAAGGCTCCCTAACTTGCCTGCCTGGTTAGTTGATGCTAGCTATTGGCTGGAACCTCCATGGGGCTATGCCCAGAACACCTACATGTGGTTGTGCCACATGGCTGCCTAACATAGCATGGTGGCTGGGTTGGATGCTTAGAAAGAGAGCAAGGCAGAAGCTGTTATCACCTTTTCTAATCTATCTTCAGAAGTCTTGTGTCACTTCTATTACGTTCTATTGGTTAGAAGCAAGTCACTAGGTACAACCCATATTCAAAGGAAGGGAAGTGAAGAATCTTCCTGTTGATGGGAGAAATGTCAAAGAATTTGTAGACATATTTTTTGTTCTTTTTGTTGCTTTTTGTTTTGTTATACTGGAAGAATCACAATTCTCATTCTTTTTTTTAAATTGAATTATAGTTGATTAACAATGTTGTGTTTATTTCTGCTGTACAGCAAAGTGATTCAGTTATACATATATATATATACATTTTTAAATATTCTTTTCTATTACAGTTTATCATAGGATACTGAATATAGTTCTCTATGCTATACAGTAGGACCTTGTTGTATATCCATTCCATATATAAAAGCTTACATCTGCTAACCCCAACCTCCCAACCCCCTCCCCCTTGGCAACCACAAGTCTGTTCTCTACGTCTGTGAATCTGTTTCTGTTTCATAGATAGGTTCATTTGTGTCATTTTTTTTTTTTTTTCTTTTTTGCGGTACGTGGGCCTTTCACCGCTGTGGTCTCTCCCACCGCAGAGCACAGGCTCTGGACGCGCAGACCCAGCAGCCAAGGCTCACGGGCGCAGCCGCTCCACGGCACGTGGGATCCTCCCAGACCGGGACACGAACTGGTGCCCCCTGCATCGGCAGGCGGACTCTCAACCACTGCGCCACCAGGGAAGCCCCATTTGTGTCATATTTTAGATTCCACATATAAGTGATATCATATGGTATTTGTCTTTCTTTTTCTGACTTACTTCGCTTAGTATGATAATCTCTAGTTGCATCTATGTTGCTGCAAATGGCATTATTTCATTCTTTTTTATGTCCGAGTAGTATTCCATTGTGTATATGTACCATATCTTCTTTATCTACTCATCTGTCAGTGGATGTTTAGGTTGTTTCCATGTCTTGACTGTTGTGAATAGTGCTGCTATGAACATAGGGGTGCATGTATTTTTTTGGATTAGAGTTTTGTCTCGATATATGCCCAGAAGTGGGATTGCCTGATCATATAGTAATTCTATTTTTCATCTTCTGAGGAACCTCCATAATGTTTTCAGTGGTGGCTGTACCAACTTACATCCCCACCAACAGTGTAGGAGGGTTCCCTTTTCTCCACACCCTCTCCAGCATTTGTTACTTGTAGAGTTTTTAATGGTGGCCATTTTGACTGGTGTGAGGTGGCACAATAAAACTAAAATTAATGAAATAGAAAACAAAGACACAATAGGATAAACAAATTCAAAAGTTTGTTCTTTGAAAATTCTAATAAAACCGAGAAACCTCTAGCAAGATCGATTAAGGAAAAAAAATAAGACATAAATAAACAATATTAGTACTGAAAAAAAGGGACATAACTAATATGCAACAGAGATATATTTAGTTGCAAAGATTTTCATATTCATTACAAACATAGTTTCTTTCCAGTATTGGCTCCAACGATTAATAGGAGTACACAAGAGATGAAGGTTCACTAGATCCTCCTATAACTGAATGCTTGGCATCCCTCTCTAGTCTATCAGTGTGTTGGCTGATAACTTCCCTCACCCCAGGACTCTCTCCACATTACTGATGTAAATGACACAAAATTATGATGCCTAACAATATGACATGAATTTTTTTTCAACTTTTTTTTATTGAAGTACAGCACTCACACAAATGTACAAGCCAAATAAACAGCTCAACGGATTAAGACAATGTAAACACTTAAGTAATTACTACACAAGCCAAGATATATAAAGTTACCAACACTTCAGAAATCCCCTGCAAGCCCCCTCCTAACTACTACTTCCTCCCTCTTCCCCAAGGTAATCATTATTTTGTCTTTTAGATATGCCTGGGTTTTGAACTTTATAGAAATGGCATTTATGCAGAACATATACTTTTGTTCCTGGCTTCTTTCCGTCGATGCTATGCTTGCAATTCATCCGTGTTGCTGCATGTGAGTGAATTTGGTTTTTCATTAGCACATGCATTCCACTATATAAATATATAACTATTTATTTATATATTCTACTCTTGATGGACATTTAGAGTATCTTCAGTTTGGGGCTATTATGTATACTGCTGCCATGAACGAGTTTTATGTCTCATGGCCCATATGTGCACACATTTCTGTTGGATATGTTCCTAGGAATACCTGCTGATCATAACATATACATATGCTACTCTTTATCGAATAATGCCAACAGTTTTCAAAGCAGTTGAAGTGATTTACACTCCTAGAAGCAGTAGTTGAGAATTCTCATTGTTTCACATTCTTACCAACACTTTGAATTATTGGTTATTTTAGTTTTAGCCATTCTGGTGGATTTATAATTCTCTCATGGCGACATTAATTTGCATTGCCCTTGTATTTGTTTCATGTGGCTATTGAAACAAATTATCAGAGACTTGGTAGCTTAAAATGACAGAAATTTATTCTCTCATAGTTCTGGAGTCCAAAATTCGAAATCAGTTTCACTGGGCCAAGATTAAGGAGCCAGCAGGGATACACTGCCAATAGGTGAGAATCCATTCCTTAAGTCTTCCAGCTTCTGGTGGCTGCCAGCATTCCTTAGCCATATCACTCCAATCTCTGCCTCTATGCTTACATTGCCTTCTCTTCTTCTATGTGTCAAATGTCCTTCCGCCTCTCTTTCATATGGACACTGTGATTACATTTAGGGCCCACCAGATAATCCAGGAAATCTATCTCATCATCCTTAATCATATCTGCAAAGTCCTTTTTTTGTCATATAAGATAACATTCACATTTTCTAGGGCCTAGGACAAGGATGTCTCCTGGGAGGCCATTACTCAGCCTACTACGTTCCTTATTTTGATTAATTTTCACATGTTTTTGATCACTTGGATATCTTCTATGACATGTCTGCTTAAGTCTTTTGCTCATTGTTTTAAACTGGGCTTTTTCTTACGGATTTTTAAACAGTTATTTATATATTCTACATACAAGTATTTAGTCAGGTATATGTATTTATTTATTTTGAATTTTATTTTTTTATACAGCAGGTTCTTATTAGTTATCCATTTTATACATATTAGTGTATGTATGTCAATCCCAATCTCCCAGTTCATCCCACCACCATCACCCCACCACCACCACTTTCCCCTCTTGGTGTCCATACATTTGTTCTCTGCATCTGTGTCTCAATTTCTGCCCTGCAAACCAGTTCATCTGTACCATTTTTCTAAGTTCCATATATATGCGTTAATATACGATATTTGTTTTTCTCTTTCTGGTCAGGTATATTTATTGAAAATATCTTTTTCCACTTAGTAGCTTATGTCTTCATGCTCTCTGTTTATGAAGAGAAGTTCTTATTTATAATATAGTCCAATTTATAAGTGTTTTCCTTTAAAGTTAGTGCTTTTTGTATCCTAATTAGGAATCGGATTCCAAGATCATGATGATATTTTCCTAGGTTATCTCCTGGAAGCTTTATATTCTTATTCTTCAGGATCAACAATCATTTAGAATTAATTTTAATGTATGGTGTGAGTTTGGGGTCATGTTTTCCTTTATTCCTTATGGATATCCTATTGACTCAGAACCATTTGTTATAATGAAAACGTCCCACTGATCTGCATAGTTACTTTTGTTTTAATGCAAGGGCCATATATGTATGAGTCTGTTTCAGGACTTTCCGCTCTATTCCATAGGTCCATTAGTCTCTCCTAGTCAGCACCACACTATTTTAATTACTATGGTTCTATAATAAATCCTGATATTCAGGCAAGCTAGTCCTCTCACCTTGTTCTTCAAATGTGTACTGGCCCCTTGGATTTCTGTAAATTTTAGAATCAGCTTGTCAAGTTCCACACAGGCTAGGATTTTGGTTGCACTATATCTATGGATCAATAAAGGGAGAACTGACATCTTTATAGTATTGAGTCTTCCAATCCCTGATCATAATAATATTCCTCTATTTATTTAGGTCTTCTTTAATTTCTCTCGATATTCTTTTATAGTTTTTGATGTAGAAGATTTGTATAGCTTCATCAGATTTAGTCATAGGATTTTTATATTTTTAATACTATTATAATTAGTCTCTTAATTTTTTTCATTTTCCAGTTATTTGTACCTGGTATGTAAAAATACAATTGTATTTATATTTGCATTTGCATAACAGCCTTGCATCAGCAATATATGAGTTCTTTTCACTATTCTGTGTATGCGTCATGCCATCTGCAAATAAAAAGAATTTTATTTCTTCCTCTACTGGCTAGCTCATCAGGACAGTATTGAATAGAAGTTAGTGATAAAGGACATTCTGTTGTTATTCCTCATTTCAGAGAGAAAGATTTGAATGTTTTGCAATTAAGATGATGTTTGTAGGTTTTGAAGATACCTTCACACAGTTAACAGAAATTCTCTCCTATTCCTGGTTTGCCACAAATTTTTATAATGAATGGAGGTTACGTTTGATCAAGTGTGAGATTTTTTTACCTACTGAAATGATTACATCATTTTTGGTTTTTATTCTAAAATGTGATATATTAATTACATTGACCAAATTTCAAATGCTAAACAAATCTTGTTTTTCTGAAACAAAACTAACTTGGTTAAAATGCATTATGCTCGTAGCTTCTGGTAACAAAGTTTTGCCGACCTCACAAACCAAGTTTGGAAGAGTTACCTCTTTTTCTATTTTCTGGAAGAATTAAATATCCTCTTCATTAACTGGCAGAAATCACCAACGAGCTATTTGGATCTAGAGTTTTCTTTGAACTAACATTTTAATTTTCAGGGTCAATTTCTTTAATAATTAAAGAATTGTTTAGATTTTGCTACATATTCTTGTATACTTGGCTTGCTGCTAATTCCTAGGCCAGATGGTGATCCATCCAATATGTATTTTCATCCATTTTAAGGTGTTTGTCGGTCTGCTTTTGTAGTTGCCAAGATTCTATCAGCACCAACCTTGAAATCACCCCGCTTTTAGCGCTGCCTGAAGCCCAGTAGTTAGTTACTTTCACTGCCAACACCTGCTTGTTAGCAACTAAAATATCAGTCAGAACTCTAGGACATCTATACCAGCTAATGGCTCTAAGGAAAGGGTCCTTTGAGTGACAGCTTCAGGTTGCAGGAACTGCAAAATGGAACTTTATAATAAAGTTCTTAGGGGTCCTCTCATTGGTGGGCTGAGTTCCTCATGATATCCAAGTGCTATGATCTGAATGTGTATGCTTCCCCCCCCAAATTCATACGTTGAAATCCTAACCCCCAAAGGTGTTGGTACTAGTAGGTGGAGCCTTTGGGAAGTGATCAGGTCATGAGGGTACAGCCCTCATGAATGGGATTAGTGTTCTTATAAAAGAGAGCCCACAGAGCTCCCTAGCCCCTTCCAATGAGGATACAACAAAAAGCCTGCAATCCAGAAGAAAGCCCTTACTTGACCATGCTGTCACCCTGATCTCAGACTTCCAGACTTCAGAGCCGTGAGACCGTAAATTTCTATTGTTTATTCTGTGGTATTTTGTTATAGCTGCCCAAACAGACTAAGACGCCAATCTACAAATATTAGGTAGAAAACTTGCTGAATTTCAGGTGTGTGGCTGAAAGTGAGTAGTCAGAGGACAGCAGCACCCTAATGAATGGTATTGCTGTTTAACTATATTCTCATGTGGTAAGTCTAATCAATCTCCTCTATATTTAGTATGGATAATTGTAATTGTTACTTGGTTACTTGTATATCTAGCAACCCAACTGGTAAGAAGTCAACACAAAAGTTTCAAGATGGGGGACTGTATTAGTTATCCCTTGTGTAACTAATTACTCCCAAGACTTAGTAGCTTAAAATAACCTTTATTATCTTAGTTTCTGAAGTTCAGGAATCAAGATGTGGCTTAACTGAGTCCTCCTGTGCTTCAGGGTCTCTCACTGGTTGTAATCAAGGTGCCAGCAGGGGCTGCAGCCCACCGCAAAGATGAACTAGAAAAGGATCCATTTTCAAGCTCCTTCAAATGGTTGCTGGCAGGATTTGGTTCCTTGTTGACAGACTGAAAGCTTTGGTCCCTCACTTGCTGTTGGCCAGAGGCTGCTCTCAGCTCCTTGCCATGTGGTGCTCTTCATAGGGCATATCAAAACACAGCAGCTTGCTTCACCAGAGCAAGCAAACAAAAAGGCAAGAGAGTGCCAGTAGAGGGAAGTAAACATCTTTTAAGACCCAATATTGTAAGAGACCTCCCATCATTTTTGCCATATTCTATTAATTAGTAGCCAATCATTGGATCTACTCCACACTCAACAAAGGGATTACACAAGGGCAAGGATACCAGGAAACTGGGATCACTGAGAGCCACTTCAGAAGATGCCTACCACATGAACTACCAGCCAACTTAGAGACAATAAGATCCACATCTAATTCATTGTATCCTTCACAGCCCCCCTACCTAGCAGACAATCTAAAAACTTTGATGTTGATTAGTGATTGAAATGATTTTTCTTCTAGTAAGCATTATTTTAATTTCGACCACCTTTATGCCTTTATGAAAGCTTCTTAAGTTGTCCACGTACTGTTGGATTTGATCTTGCTCCTGGGAGAGGAAGGAAAATGTAGAAAACTAGGTAAATTTGAATTTGTTCTGGGATAAAAGTAAGTGAATTCTAAGATCTTTGGCTAAAATGATTCAAGCCTTTTAAGTCTTATCATCTTACGTTATCTGCCTTTATTTGACTATGAAACCATAAAATAGTCATAATTTTCAATGTTTTCTTTTTTTACAAAATTTATAAATCTCAAAAAGTATTTTTAAAATAAATTTATTTTATTTATTTATTTTTGGCTGCACTGGGTCTTTGTTGCTGTGCACGGGCTTTCTCTAGTTGTGGTGAGCAGGGGCTACTCTTCGTTGCGGTGCGCGGGCTTCTCATTGCGGTGGCTTCTCTTGTTGCAGAGCGCAGGCTCTAGCTGCGCAGGCTTCAGTAGTTGTGGCACACAGCCTCAGTAGTTGTGGCGCACGGGCTTAGTTGCTCCGCGGCATGTGGGATCTTCCCAGACCAGGGCTCGAACCCATGTCCCCTGCATTGGCAGGCGGATTCTTAACCACTGTGCCACCAGGGAAGCCCTTAAAAAGTATTTTTAATAGGGAAACATTTTGAGATGTAAATACCCCAACAAATTTCACCTCATCTTAAGGAGTTAATTTCTGCCACAGCAGTCATAGAAGCCTGAATATGTTCCAAAATAGCTCAAGAGTTCTGGCCTGGTCCTGGATTTTCCTCTTCTAGCAATATTCCCAGGGCCATTTTTAGAGTTTGAGGCATTTTAGTTGGGTTCAGTCAAACATAAAGCAAACTCAAACAGATCTAATGCTTATAAAACTCTCCCTTACTCCAGCATTGGATTAAATCCAGATCATCTCATCTAAAAAGTAAAGATAATTATTTTTCAAATGGAAAATTCAATGTCATGATAAATAATCACCTTGTCCCCCACTTTTTGTATAATTTTTTTTTTTTTTTGCGGTACGTAGGCCCCTCACTGTCGTGGCCTCTCCCGTTGCAGAGCACAGGCTCCGGACACGCAGGCTCAGCGGCCACGGTTCACGGGCCCAGCCGCTCCGCGGCATGTGGGATCCTCCCAGACCGGGGCACGAACCTGTGTCCCCTGCATCGGCAGGCGGACTCCCAACCACTTCGCCACCAGGGAAGCCGGTCTCCCACTTTTTAACTCTCAGAATTAGACTACAGTCTCGTAGGACAAATACAGTTATTGTGAGAATAAATACTGATAAAAGACACATCATTGCCATCTTACTGTTACAATAGTTTGAACGTCTATAGAAATAATCTCATGAAGTAAACTTTTTAAAATTTAAAAACTTCTCCATAATTAAAATCAAAAGACAAACAACAAACAGGAAAATACATGTAACACATATGACAAGATTAATTTCCTTTGTATAGAAAGAGCTCCTAGAAATCAATAAATTTTTAAAAATCCACCAGAAAAATAGGCAAAGGACACAGACAATACACAGAAAGGAAAAAAATAGATCCTAAATACGAAAAGATACTCAATGCCTCTCATAATAGAATTTAACATTTAAACCTACAATGAGATATGACTTGCAACTTGTTACATTGGCAGAAATCAAAAAGTTTGGTAATACTTTATCAAAAAGTGGGCATTTTCATATACTATTAAGAATGTAACTTGGCAAACATATTTTTAGAAGACAATATCTATCAAAATAAAAAATGTTTAAATTAAAATACATATAGCTTTTGACCCAACTATCTCACTTGTAAGAATTAATTCTACAGATATACTCACATCTATACAGAGACATATGTATAAGGATATTAAGGAAAAGATTAGAAATAAAGAAAATGTCCACCAATAGAAGACTCTTAAATAAAATATAATCTTTACAATGGGATATTATATAGCCATTAGAATGAGTCATTTTATTTGCATTGCTCTGGAACTATCTCTAAAATATATTAAGTGAAAAAATTAATATATACAATGTATGTAGTATGCTATCATTTGTGGGAAAAAAATCTATTCTTTATTCATGTGCATAGGTATATGCACCCTCTGCAATGATCCATTAGAAACTGGTAAAAATAATTATCTCTGAGGAGACCTGGGGCTGAATGGTAAGAAGACTTATTTAGAACTCTTTGAACTTGTTCATGTGTATTTTTAAGTGTATTACCCACTTAAAAATATAAATCTTTTAACAACTTAAAGGCCATAATTTTCACATATGAAGCATGTTTAGTAGGTATATTGTTCTTTAGTCTAGAGGAAATGCTACATAATTAGGAATTAAAAATACTGTGAAGCACTTAAGAACATTCATTAGCATATGCCAACCTAGCTTAAATCAAATAAAAACCTCTCTTGTGTTGACAAAACAAAAAACTTTAGTCTTCATTTCAGCTGAGCTGAAAATAAATTAGGTGGGGCAATTAAAGGAACATTTTCTACCAGCCTTTCTTGCTCCAAAGACCATTACCATGTACTTGATTTTAGGAAGAGTTTTGTCCAGCAAGTGGCATCTGTTACCTATTATCAGGAGCAGAAGCCTGAAGCACTTCTGCCCACTGCATCTTGGTATCAGAGTTGCTAAGGAAAACACAGTGCAGTTAAGTACTGGCTGGAACAGTGCTTTACTAGAATAGAGAAAAGACAGAAAGATCAGCTTCAGTAGTGAGTGTCAGTTTCCTATAGCCAGCAGGTCCCTCCCAGAAGCCGACACTGGGCAATTGGCCAACACACACCCTTCTTGTACAACAGAAGAACCCCGTCCTCTCCCCAAAGGGGACAGATAGGCACTGGGGTTGGCCAGGTGCCATATGACACATGTACTTAAGCAGAACAAAGTAGTACACATTGAGTCTGAAATAGGGAAAGGTAATTACAGACAAGGTGACAAGTCCAGTGTAAGCTGTAAGGATTCCATCTCTTGGTAAGGAAGTGTTTCAGGCCCAAGGCCCATTCTTGTGCAGCCCAGCAGGGGTCAAAAGACTCCCCATAGTTTGGCTCTTTCATAAAAAACAAATAAAATTAAATTACAAGACGGTCATAGAATTATATGTTAGAAAATACACACAATTATCCTGAGAGTTTTTATCCACAGGGAAGCAACATAATGAAGAGTGAGGTTATAAGATTTAGAATCCATATTTTATCATCTATGGGCAAATCAGCAAACTTAAAATTTAAATTCTCTGAACTTTAGTTTTCTCATATGTAGTAAGATGGAGCTAATACTACTGCTTCTAAATAGTAACTGAGATAATATATGTAAAACCCCTAGCACCTGTCCTAGGACACAGGTATTAAATAAATGCTAACTTATAGGGTCAAACGTATGGGGAAATCTGGATGATATTAAGTGCTGCTTTGAATTTCTTTATAAGAAGAAAATTAGCAAATAATGAAGTTGCCAGATAGTTTTATTTAAGGCTTTACGTGTCTGAATAATTGGTTAAAAAGCAAATGTTCATCATTTTTAGAGTTGCACAAAAGGAAAGTAACAGGGAAAGTAATGGCTTGCTTGTCAAATTCATTTGATGTGGGGCTGATTTCCTTAAATTAAAAAAAAAAAAATCTAAGTCTTTGGACCCTGGGGCTCTAAAAATAGCACTTGGAATTAATACTGTTCTCAGATTCATGGTTCAAGGAAGTCACTACATTTCCTTTGTTTCTTGATGCTACAGATTTAACAACATATTGGTAGAAACATGTAACTTCTCACATGGACTAGATATCAAAAGACCAGTTTGTGTACATAAACTAAACACTGAAAATGAATACATACAGATATTATGGAACTTAAATACAAACTTGTTAACAACTTGCCAGAAGGAACAAAAAACAGTATTAATAAAGAGTGGTCTTTCGCATCATTCTCAAAAATTCTTCCTCATTTATTTCTCCATCCCCGTCATGATCAGCTTCATCAAGCACTTCCTGTAAAATGACATGTAAATAGGATATGTGAAATCTATTAAAAAGGAATAATGATATAAATGAACATTCAAATACCTACTCAAAACCAAATTTTATTTTAAATGTATTTACTAATACAACTAAAGAATATAACTATGAATTATAATAAATTATAATTGTATATAAGTTATATGTGAAATTATAATTATACAAATAAGTAAAATTTATCTGAAGTTCGTCATCTGTCAAATTTTCCCCTAGTTCCTTAGCAACCCCCTTGATATTGTTTAGTGATATACTTCCTGTATTATCATCACCAAATAATTTGAAAGCCTTCAATATTTCTTCTTTTTCATCTTTTTCACTCTTAAAAACAGAAACAACTAAATGTCATTAGTCTTTCATTTATTTATTTGATTAGTCTGGATGTATAGGTCTTTGAGGTCTAGAACAGCAACACAGCAGGTAGCTGAGCTCTATTTACTGCCCTGACTTTTAACAATGATTCCAATGCATTCACATCTGCCCTCAAGGTATTGAAACTCAGGGTTTATTTAAGTGGAAGAGCCACAGGGTGATAAAGAGAATCTATCTTGTATTAACCTCACTAACTGAGATCCATTTCAAAAATATAAGCTCCAAGAGAACAGGGAGGTTGTCTCATTCAATGCTCCCTAGGATACTGCCTGACAAAAACAGGCACTCAATAAATTGTTTGCTGATTTCAAGGCTTAAAAATGCTGGCCCTGTTCTCTCTATCCAGCCATATATCCTTATTATTTCCTAACAAAAAACCTCTTCTCCACACTGGACAGTCTTCATTACTACCCTGAAAACATCTTTAATCTTGTTATTCCTATCTATCTAAATCCTACCCATCTTTAAAGACCTAGTTCCAATTCTTCCTCTGATTCCTTCAGCCAAAAATTGTAGGCTACTGCTTGTATTTCACTGAAAAACAAAATCACTACTATACCATTTTTACACTCATTATGGCCAAAAAATCTTCAAAACTAATGGTGCCGATTCCTTCTTTGTCAATTTCAGCTATCATTTTTAAAATTTCTTCTTTCTTTGGTTCAAATCCTAAGGCCCACATTGTAATCTGAAATAGAAAGCAAATAAATTATAATAGGCCACAATCTCATTCCTAGCTCTTAAACTACCTATTAATTACTAGGTTCTCTCTTTTTCACTATGGACTAGGCTTAAACCTAGAAAGTCAGGTCAGCAGCCTTAGGTTCCAATCCTACCATGCCATAGGATGTCACTGTCACACGATGGGCTTTGGCCTACTGATTCATAAAACAATAATAAAATGCTTAACAAGATACTGTTTTGTTGATGCAGGCCAGGCATGTACATACACTGCAGGGGTAGGTGTCTGCACTGAAGAGATTTTATATCAAGCTTTCAGAAGGCTACTGTTAAAGAAAGATTTAAATATTGCAACAAAGCAATGATAGTTTTTCAAATGTTTTGGAACTATAAGTAATTTCAGAACGTTCAATTCTTTCACATTTCTGGTTCCACACCCAACAACATCGAATAAATCAAAGTCCTCTTTAATTTCTTGCTTTTTGGTTTCATTCAATTTCTGCTGCTCTTTTCTTCCATTGGCCTGAACTTGTGCGACAGTTGGATGCCTGTAATAAATACACATGTGGGTAAAAGATAAACTGTGTAACTGGAAAAAGTACCAGAAGCAGAAGATTTAATGATGAACTAATTAAATATAATAAACATATTCAAGTATCCTATTCCCTATCATATAATGAACTTCAAGAATTTCCCCCTTTCCCTTTGCTAACATTTGTGATTTTAGTTATTCATATCTTGCTGGAAAGCATGGTTCTTTTTTACATCTTAGGTTTTTCCATCAAATTAGTGACTTTTGATACGGAGAAGAGGCAAAGAAGACATGCTAGAATAGTAGATGTTATGTCAGAAAACAATTGGCCTTACTTGGTATATCTTTATTTTATTTTTGGTTGCATTGGATCTTTGTCGCTGTACGCAGGCTTTCTCTAGTCGTAGTGAGCGGGGGCTACTCTTCGTTGTGGTGCGCAGGCTTCTCATTGCAGTGGCTTCTCTTGCTGTGGAGCACGGGCTATAGGCACGTGGGCTCAGTAGTTGTGGCTCACGGGCTCTAGAGCACAGACTCAGTAGTTGTGGCACACGGGCTTAGTTGCTCCACGGCATGTGGGGTCTTCCCCGAGCAGGGCTCGAACGTGTGTCCCCTGAATTGGCAGGCAGATTCTTAACCACTGTGCCACCAGGGAAGTCCCTTACTTGGTATATCTGAGCAGCAGTGTTTAAGGCATATTTACTCTTATCTCTGCCTGTATGTCTCATAATAAAATTTATTTTGTGAGACATGGTTGATTGGAACATCATTTCTTTTCCCACCTTCTCACATACTTTTCTATGTTGCAGAGACTGAGAAATGAAAAAATACATTTTCCAGGTGAAAAATTACTCCAGGGACCTGAAGAAGAATAAATGTTGGACCAATTATCCGTATCTGGGGAAGATGGAGGTCATCTTCCTGCTACTTGCCATGTTCTGCTGGCAAGGTCCCAGAGTTACTCCTGGGATTCTTCTGCAGCCTCATTTCAGTATCTTGTCTCCAGCTCTGGGTTAAGAAGCAGTGGTGGCAGAGACTCCACGACCCGTGATCCAGACGCCAGCTTCACATATCTGAAGACTGGTTGTGGCAGCATCAGATTCTTGATCCCTGGCCTGCAGATACACTCATCTTCAACAGTTCCAGTGGCAGAGTTTGTAGCTCCCCCGGCCAGTTTTTTCAGAGTTCTGGATGTCTTTCCTAGAGGCCCAGGCCCTCCAACGGTTTTAAAGCATCTTATTCTCTGTATTCAACTCATTTCTGGCTAGAGAGTGGTTTCTGTCTCCAACACCGTTGGTAGTAGCGGTTACTGGGGTTGAGGAGGGGAAAAAATGAACTGGAGAACTGCTCTTCTGTCTCTAGAGTTATGGACAGTGCGCTTCCATTCGGCGACGAAGGGAGGGGTTACTAATGACAGTCGAGGATCATGAAAGGAGGAGAATAATACATTTCATAAACTAAATTCCTTCCTTGTTCCGGGGAGAAACTTCAGCCCCAGCCCAGCCCCAGTAAGTGGTTGCAGCTTCGCACTCGCCATGTCCCCGACCGGCGCCCTCAACCGGGAACTCCTCGCTTCACCCGCCCGCCGCACAGCCCGACTGTAGTCTTCACAGCCTGCTAGCCGTTGCTAAGGCCGCTCTCGCCGACCTCTCTGCGGCCCCGCCCACACAGGCTTGTCCCCACTGATTGACAGTCATGCCACCCAATGGTCAGAAAAGAAGGTCCTTGAGGCCATCCCCCACTCTCTATTCTCTACCAATAGCGTAACGCTATGCCTTTCCCAGGCTACCATTAAGCAGAACTTTCCGTAGGGTTTCTTAGCAATCAGGACTGTCCGTTAGCCCAGCTGCGCCCGCGGCGCACTTGCGCAAAATGCGAACCGGAAGGGAAGGTTCTTTCCCCGGACGTTTTGGCGTCACAGTGCCAGGCAGAACTTCGGGGAACGGAAGCCTCCTGTAGGGATGGAGAAAAGAGCGAGGTTCGTAGCGAGGTGCTTCTACCAACTGCTAAGTCTTTGACGGAGATGTGGGGATATATTGTTTGCTTTTCTAAGCTCTTGGGGCCGGGGGAAGGGATGAGCCTGGTGGGTCTGGTGAATTGGTCCAGCTTCGGTTTACCGGCCGGATTACCAGAGGCGGAGGGGACTGCCCTTACCTTGCGCCGCTAGGCATCCCTCAGCCTCCACAGTGCCTGGGGCTTGGCCTTTAGCGACTTCCCTCCTCCTTAGTTCACAGCGATTCTGGCCTGGTAGGCAGAATTTCTTTTTCTTTTCTTTTTTTTTTTTATGTTTTGCGGTACGCGGGCCTCTCACTGTTGTGGGTTCTCCCGTGGCGGAGCACAGGCTCCAGACGCGCAGGCTCAGCGGCCATGGCTCACGGGCGCAGCCGCCCCGCGGCATGTGGTATCTTCCCGGACCGGGGCACGAACCCGTGTCCCCTGCATCGGCAGGCGGATTCTCAACCACTGCGCCACCAGCGAAGCCCTAGGCAGCATTTCTTTACAGGAGGGGTGTGGTGTGGGCACGGGGGCAGTGCGGGTCTTAGGATGCACATGAAGACTCCCTGCATAGGAAAGAGCTTTTACCAGTGTTGTAGCGTTTATTTGCGGGGTTGGACTTTGGACCCACCCATAATCATCATCAGACTTTTCCACGCCCCCGACATTCTCACCCACAGCCGTTCAGTTGGTTGAATCCCAAGATTTGGCCGGTTTTCCAAATATGTCCAGCATAGATCCGCACTGAGTCCGACGTAGGTAGCCTGAAAATCCACTTGACTGAGTAACTGTCGAGATTCAGATGCCATATAACTGCTGTAAATCAAAGCAATTTCTTGGCCAAAGGGCCAGACTTGCTGGTTCCGCCCAGTTCTGAATCTGGTCCGGGACCAGCTAAAGGGTGAAGGGGAAGGACTGAGGTAGTAGGAATGAAGAGGTGATAGTCTCTTAAAACTTCTAACGCTTAATCGCTTACACATCAGGGCTCTTTTTTATGCCTCCTGCAGTGCCTTTATTTTCTAAAAATCATACAGGATTCTCCAACAGTGGATTCAGGAAGAACATTAAGTTTTGCCTAGGTTTTTCCCTTTCTCCCACTTAACTCCTTGAAGGTAAGGAAAGAAAAATGTGCAAAGTACGTTCTTGAAGTAGTCTCCCAAGTCACCTTTCCTACTTCAGTTAGTTGAAACATGGCACATTTTCCAAAACCATCCTTTCTTGCTCACATTATATACCAGGCAGACACCCAAGCATTGTAATAATTGATCTAAAAAAAACCCAAAAAACAAAACCTCATTAGGATTCTGGAAAATAGGTAAAGTTATTCTAATATTAGAAGTGATTTTTCTGTGTAAAGTTACCCTAGTGGAAATTTAAATGATGCAAATTCAAGATGGTTCATGAATTAGGTAAAATATTCAGTCACTTAATTATAGTATATTGATTTTTCAGGCCATTAATCTCACTGAGAAAGTTGCTGTTGATTAGTTTCAAGGACATATACCTCTTCTTTACTACTAATATTAAAGGGTTTTCTGAGACCAGAAATGAATAATGACCAAATATGTAGAAACAATTCTAATTTTTAGGCTCTCCTGGATCAAGTTTGATCTTATGGCAACTAAAAGGCTGCGTAGTGTGTTCACCTGCTTTTACATCATTCTGTGATTTAGGCTTTTCTATTTGGGACATTAACTTCTAGTGAAAATGATTTTTCAATTATAGGCTCAGATTGCAGTTTCTAGGTCTTAGGTAGGAAGTACTCAGTCTTGAAAAATAGCTGTTAGTAATCTAATTTTACTATAGAACATTAATAATATTAATCTGGAAAAATGTTAAACCTATTATCACTCTTAAATCTACTAAATTTATTTAATGCTTTCTACATATCATGTACTATGCCATGTATTGGGTGAGTTTGAAAGGAACTGAGTGTAGAGTATAAAGATGAATGAAAGCAAGGAACCCACAGAGTAGCGGGGGAGATAGGCACAGACATAAAAACAGTATTTTTAATTCAGGGTGCTAAGTGCTTTAGTAGATGTGTGTAGACAGGACTTTGGCAGCCCAGGAAGGAGGTGCTACTTCTCCTTGAGGCATTGGAGGAGGCTGTATCAAAAATGTGGCATTTGCCTTGGGTCATGAAAGATATGCCAAGGTGAAGAAAGTGTAGGATATTCAAATCAGAGTATAGTATGTGCGGAAATGAAAGTAAATGTATGTTGTAGTGTGACTAGATCATTGGGTTTATAAGGAAAGGTGGAAGATGAGCCTTATAAATTAGATTGAAGTCAGATTATGGGACACCTTTACCTAGGTAAAGACTTTATTTTCTAAGATGAATAGTTGTTTTAGGCAGTGGAGTGATCCGATTAGGTTTGTGCTTTTCAAAGATAATTCTGACAACCATGTGAAGGAGGAACCGTTTTGGAAGCAATTAAAGGGCCTCAACCAAGGCAGTGCCAAATAGCAATCATGTCGACTCCAGAGGTGGTAGAACCTTAAATTTATGGTGGAGGAATACTGACAATGGCATCTGTTTAGTCTTATTTCAGTTCTGTACTTAAAGGTAAGATAATAAATGTGGTGAAAACCACATTGTCAAATATTTATTGAGTACTTGCATTGTGTCAGACAGTGTTATCAGTATATGGGATACGTCAGTGACTAAAACTGCCCTTCTGGGAATTATATTCCAACAGAGGGACATAGTCAATAAATAGTAAATAAATAAGTAGAGTATGTACTATTTTATAAGGTGATAATGTTGTGGGAAAAGAGAAATTAGAGCGAATAAAGGGAATCCAGAATGTAAAGGGAAAAGAGGAGTTTGCAGTGTTAAATAGGATGCTCAGGATAGGCCTCGTTGAAAGGGGGAGATTTGCATAATTATATAAAGCTGTTAGAGCTTCCCTGGTGGCGCAGTGGTTGAGAGTCTGCCTGCCAATGCAGGGGACACGGGTTCGTGCCCCGGTCCGGGAAGATCCCACATGCCGCGGAGCGGCTAGACCCGTGAGCCATGGCCGCTGAGCCTGCGTGTCCGGAGCCTGTGCTCCGCGGGGGGAGAGGCCACAACAGTGAGAGACCCGCGTACCGCAAAAAAAAAAAAAAAAAGAGTAGCTCCCAATCTCTGCAACTAGAGAAAGCCCACGCACAGCAACAGAGACCCAACACAGCCATAAATTAATTAACTAATTAATTAAAAATAACAAAAGTAGAAGCAATCCAAATGTCCATAAACAAAATGATAGCTACCTACATACATACATAAAAAGGAATAAAATACACATACTACAATGTGGATGAACCTCAAAAACATTATGCTAACTGAGGGGGTTGGAATGAATTGGGAGATTGGGATTGACATATATACACTATTGATACTATGTATAAAATAGACAACTAATGAGAACCTACTGTACAGCACAGGGAACTCTACTCAGTGCTCTGTGGTGACCTAAATGGGAAGGCAATCCAAAAAAGGGGATTTATGTACACATATAGCTGATTCACTTTGCTGTACAGCAGAAACTAACACAACATTGTAAAGCAGCGATACTCCAATAAAAATTTTTTTAAAAACATTATGCTAAGTGAAAGAAACCAGACACAAAGGGTCCCATATTACATGATTCTATGAAATATCCAGAATAGGTAAATCCACAGAGACAAGAAAGCAGCTTGGTGGTTGCCAGGGGCTGGGGGGGAGACATACAGGGAGGGACTGCTTAATGGCTACAGAGTTTTCTTTCGGGGTGATGGAAATATTTTGGAACTAGATAAAGGTAGTGGTTGTACAACACCGTGAATGTTCGAAGTGCCACTGAATTGTATCCCCTAAAATGGTTATGTTATATGAACTTTACCTCAATTTTTAAAAAAGACTAAAACCATAAAGCTTTTAGAAGAAATATGGAATGTCCTTTGTACTCAGGGGTAGATGAAACTTTTAAAAATAGAACCCAATAACCATTAAAAAAAAGACAAAAGGACTAACAAAATAGATTGCCAGGCAGTATTAAGGGCCACTTGCAGTGTGGAGTCATGAACTTAAAATGCCACCAGTCAGTGTGGTTGTGTGTGTTTTTCTGTTTATTTTCGGCCGCCCCAGGGTAAACATGGAGTAGACAGAGTTGGATTTCATCAAGATTAGTGGCTTTGCAAGGTAAGATGAACCAAAAGAGAGACAAGGAATTTGAGAGTCTATGTACAAGAGAGTGATTATAATCCGCAAATGGGAACTTAAACTGGGTAAGTAGAGAATTGATAATATGGGATGGAGGACAGCAAAAATATGGTAAGATAAGAGAGCTGTAAGACAGGATGGGTCTCAGCATTGTTGGAGTCTAGGGTATAATTTGATGCTGTCCAGGGATATACCTGAGTATATCAAGAGTTTTATTTTTATTTTACAGAACTGAAAGTTTCACAAAAGAGGTTTTGAAGCTGAGTTCAATTTGTTATATGTTTTCTTAGGCTGTACTGGGTTTTCTCCTTAGTCCTTGAAAGGCTCTAGGAAGCTACTCTTGAGCAACAGGTGCTGTGGCTTCCTGCTGATCCTAAGGTGTATCTGGAACTGTGGAGCTCTTCAGAATCAAGGATGACTTCTAGGCATTATAGGAACAAATTTACCAGTGCTGTGGCCAGCATTAGAAGAAAAGCAAAAACTCCGAGAGTTGTTTGCTTTTTGATATTTTGGATTTAAAAGGTTGTGGTAAAAAGTATGCTTGCGGGACTTCCCTGGTGTCCGGTGGCTAAGACTCCGCGCTTCCAATGCAGGGCGCCCGGGTTCGATGCCTGGTCAGGGAACTAGATCCCGCCTGCTGCAACGAAGATCCCGCATGCCACAACTAAGACCTAACGCAGCCAAATATATATATTTTTTTAAAATATTAAAATATGTATATATATGTACTTGAAGAATTATAAAGTCTTAGAGTTGGAAAAGAAGTGTATGTTATCTACAGTTTTAGCTGTAGTGCTTTAAGAGCCCATACCTCACAAGACAGGTTATTTTATTACAGATAGCTTTTCAATTAGAGGGTGCTTCGTTAAAAAGTTCTTTCTATTGGGCTGAAGTTTTTGTCTTATAACTTCTTCCTATTAATTTTAGATGTGAATTCTGAAATATTACCTGGAAAAAGTCTAATTGCTCTCAAACTTCCTTTTTCTTAATTTAAATTTATTTATTTATTTATTCTTGGCTGCGTTGCATCTTCATTGCTGCGTGCGGGCTTTCTCTAATTGCAGCGAGCGGGGGCTACTCTTCGTTGCAGTGCGCGGGCTTCGCATTGCGGTGGCATCTCTTGTTGTGGAGCACGGGCTGTAGGCGCGTGGGCTTCAGTGTTTGTGGTGCACAGGCTTAGTTGCTCCGTGGCATGTGGGATCTTCCTGGACCAGGGCTCGAACCCGCGTCCCCTGCGTTGGCAGGCGGGTTCTTAACCACTGTGCCACCAGGGAAGCCCTCGAACTTCCTTTTAAACAGTACTTTTCCCCCCTTTATATTCTAATCAATAGCTAAATCCATCCTTTACCTCCATCCCTCTTCCACATTTCTCATCTAGATAACCATGGCCGCTCTGCCTTCTGTCTGGCACTCATCCAATCAGTTCTCTACACTGTTATCAGAGTGGTAATATATCCAAAACACTAATAATAAATAATAATTTTAATATTACTTAATTTTATTTTTAATATTATTCAGTTTTATATTATAAATGTATTATTGTTATTGCAAGTACTCATAAAGCACTATGTGCCAGACGCTGCTCTAAGCAGTGTACTCATTTACTCCTGGTAAGAACCCTATGAAGTAGATTCTGTTACTGTCCTCATTTTTCAGACGTGAAAACAGGGTAAAGAAGTTAAGAAACTTGCTGAAGGCTACACAGTTAGTAAACAGTAGAGACAAGTTCCAGCCCAGACTTCTAGATTCAGAGTACATGCTTTCAGACACTACATCAAGCTGTTTCTTCTTCTCCCCCCTTTAAAGCACTTCCATGTTTCCCGTTATAAGTAGGGTCAGGTTTGACGTGGCGCATACTGCCCTTCACGATCCAGCCCCTTTCCTCTTCTAACGCTTCATGTCCTACTATTCCCCACTACTTGCTTTATATTCCCGTGAAACTAAATTACTTGTATTACCCAAGTACACTGTGTTTTTGTCACATATATGTGCATTTACTACTACCTCCTTCAACTTGCTAATTAGTTTTTCAAATTTTAATGCTGTATCATTGCACTGACCATATTTAATGGAAACTACATATATCAGAAACTCCTCGAAGGCAGGGACTGTATCTTGCTTTTCTTTTATTACCATGAATTGCACTGAACGAAGTTCCAAGTTTTAATTTTATTTGCAGGTGATGATTCATGGTGATGGCTTGCAGGGTCATAAACAAAAGAAGGCACGTGGGACTTCAGCAGCTTTCATCGTTTGCAGAAACAGGAAGAACTTTCCTAGGCCCAGTAAAATCATCCAAATTTATTATAGATGAAGAGTGTCGTGAAAGTGTGTTAATCAGTTCAACAGTAAGGCTTCTTGAAAGTTTGGATTTAACCAGTGCAGTGGGACAGCTTCTCAGAGAAGCAGTTCAAGCACAAAGTAACACTTACAGAACTGGAACCAGCACTCTTTTGTTTCTTGTGGGTGCATGGAGCAGTGCTGCTGAAGAATGTCTTCATTTGGGTGTCCCCATGTCATTAATAGTGTCTGTAATGTCAGAAGGCTTGAATTCATGCATTGAAGAGGTAGTTTCCCTTCAAGTACCTATCCAGTACAATGTATTTGACCGTATGGTTAACACAAAGACATTTTCTGGACCTGAAACATTTAGTGTCGGCGTATACCCTTTTCTCCAAATCCCTTCAGGTACTGGTTTGATACAGAAAGAGCGTGATCTCAGAGATGTTGCCTCTCAGTCATTGGCCATTTACAGTCTTTCTGGGAGACCTGTTAAATCACCTCAACTCGTTAGGTCTCAGGATAAGGTTGAAGCAGATGAAAACACATCACAAACTCCTCAAACTCTGAAAAACAGTCTGCTTGCAGACACCCGCTGCAGAACGTCAGTACTAACCCACAGTAGACATTTTAGTAGGACAGGTAATAATCAATGGATAAGCAAACCAGATGGAGTTCTAGAACAACTTAGTGCAGCTACTCCCAAGACTTACAGATGTGATGATCTGGTGGAGTTGGAGGTGGGCTTGAGTCACGGAGGTCTCAGCAGCATGAAGTTAGTAGACGAAGCAGTACGGCTACAATATCAGAACGCAGGTATGCAACAAGGCAGCTGTACAGTGCCATTTCTTTTTGACATTTCAAGAATCTTCACTTGCTGCTTACCGGGCTTCCCTGAAACTTTTTCTTGTGTCTGTCCAGGATATATCACTGTTGTATCAATATCTAGTACTGCTCTGATCAAGGAATTGCAGAATCAGCCTATTCGGGTTGTTCTTGTTGAAGGTGATCTCACAGAGAATTATCGCCACCTGGGATTTAATAAGTCTGCAAGTATTAAAACAGTATCAGAAAGCTTGAAGGTTCAACGAGATGGCTCAGAAGAACTGTGGACAGATCATGTGTTACAGGTATTAATCAAGTTCAATGTGAACCTTGTCCTGGCACAAGGAAATGTGTCTGAACGCTTAATTGAAAAATGCACAGACAGCAAGAGGTTGGTAATTGGATCAGTGAATGGCCATGTAATGCAGGCTTTTGCAGAGGCTTCAGGAGCAGTGCAGGTGACCTACATTACACAAGTGAACGAAAACTGCGTGGGCGGTGGGGTCTGTGTGACCATCTGGAGAAGCATTCCCTCTGATGCTGCAGATGAGATCAACAGAATGGCAATCATGTTAAGAACAGAAGGAATTAATTTGGTTACAGTAGTGCTGACTAGTCCGGTCACTGCCCAGGTGCAAACCAAAGAAGATACCTTCTGGACGTGTGCCTATCGTCTGTATCATGCTCTAAAAGAGCAAAAGGTCTTCCTTGGGGGTGGCGCAGTTGAATTTTTGTGTCTTAGCCATCTTCAGATTCTTGCGGAGCAGTCTGTGAATAAAGGAAACCAAGGCTGTTCAGGATGGCTTCATAATACTTCCTCTTGGCTGGCCTCATCTGTGACACAGTACAGACCGACTGTGCTTAAACTCCTGGCAAATGGATGGCGCAGATACCTTTCAACTCTCCTGTATAACACTGCCAGTTACTCATCAGAATTTGAAGCCGGCACATTCATTCAACATCATCTACAAAATGCTACAGACTCTGGCTCTCCTTCATCTTACGTCTTGAATGAATATAGTAAACTAAATAGTGGGATTTTAAATTCAGACATTTCAGATAAACTGGAACAGATTCCAAGAGTTTATGACATTGTTACACCAAAGATTGAGGCATGGCGCCGAGCTTTGGATTTAGTACTGTTAGTTCTTCAGACAGACAGTGAAATTATCACTGGACTTGAACAAACGCAGATAAATTCGCAGGAATCAGAGGGCTTTTTATTTTTGTAGTGTTATTGGCTAAGTCTTTGGAAAATAATCTTTGGTAATATGTCGTGCTAATAATAAATTTTCTAGTAGCCAAGTTACAGTTTCTAAAATGCCAGCTTTTACCAAGAGAAAATAATTGATGTGTGTCAATAACTGTACAGAGTCGGAGATTTCACCCTACTTACAATTTTGTTCTCTGTTTCTATATTTTTATTCTGTAGCTGGACATGTCTCTTTTTTTAACATTTTATTGGAGTATAATTGCTTTACATTGTTGTGCTAGTTTCTGCTGTATAAGAAAGTGAATCAGTTATACGTATACATATATCCCCATATCCCCTCCCACTTGCATCTCCCTCCCACCCTCTTTATCCCACCCCTCTAGGTGGTCACAAAGCACCGAGCTGATCTCCCTGTGCTGTGCGGCTGTTTCCCACTAGCTATCTATTTTACATTTGGTAGTGTATATGTCAATGCTCCTCTCTCACTTTGTCCCAGCTTACCCTTCCCCCTCCCCATGTCCTCAAGTCCGTTCTCTACCTTTGTGTCTTTATTCCTGTCCTGCCCCTAGGTTCGTTACAACCTTTTTTTTTTTTCTAGATTCCATATATATGTGATAGCATACTGTATTTGTTTTTCTGACTTACTTCACTCTGTATGACAGACTCCAGGTCCATGCACCTCACTACAAATAACTCAATTTTGTTTCTTTTTATGGCTGAGTAATATTCCATTGTATGTATGTGCCACATCTTCTTTATCCATTCATCCGTCGATGGACACTTAGGTTGCTTCCATGTCCTGGCTACAGTAAATAGAGCTGCAGTGAACATTGTGGTTCATGACTCTTGGAATTATGGTTTTCTCAGGGTATATGCCCAGTAGTGGGACTGCCGTTCACCCTACTTATAATTTAACAGGTTAGCCTGTTGCTGTTTCATGGGATGCTACAGAATACACAAGATGCTTGGATCAGAGGCAAAGGGCTTTTATTATTCACAGGAAAAGCAGTAGCCAGAGCTTCGGGTTGCTTTGCATCAGTTCCCCAGTTCTCTACGTCCCACGAAAGCAACACAGAGGGCCACTGATGGCAGCCTGCACACGTAGTGTGTTGTGTTACGGAGGAGGAGCACTTGGGGTAGCCACTGCTTTTACAGTAAGCAGAAACAATCCCGTCCTTTGTCCAAGGGCAGTTGTTACCTCATGCCTCAAGGCTGCTCAGTGTAAACACAAGCCTGAGACATGGGCTGGGTAAAGATAGGCCTGGCGTCCTGAGGAAGTCTGCAGTGTCACTCAGAGCCATAGTGGGTAGCCTTCTCCAGAAATTCACTCTTCAACCTGATACATTCTTGGCCAGACTTGAATTTTCATGTGAGTATGCCACTCTGTCGGCTACTCTGATTAATCTGGCAAACAGGTTGCTTAGTCAGTACCAAATCTATTCAGTTGGTCTCACATACCAACTAAATCAAGGCTACTAAAGCAGACCCCAAGCAGCAGGGTGAAGCCAGGCTGCAGTACTGACCTCACTCATGTTCCCAAGGGCCTTGAATGTAGTCAAATGTAAGTTCCAAGGGAGGGCCAGTAGGCCTTCTTATTAGCCAGAATGTAGCCTAAGACCAATTTGTTATCCATTATGAACCACGCAAGGGAGCTTTGACTGTCTTACCTGTCTTTGGTGTCATTGCCAAAAATAACAGGAGGCAATAGATGGGCCAAAAGGCAACTCCCATCACTAGTGGAGATCTTTGTGGCCCATTTTCCCCACGTACAAGCACATAACCGCAGTAGGCCCAGGTCACTGTATATCAGGATTTCTTGTTAAACCTGAATTGAATCACCGGTATATAAATTTGATTAAGTCACAAAGGTAGTGTTACCCAGTAGTTTCAGCCTCAATTGCCATGCATGGCAAAGTCCAAGGCCACTCAGGCATTAAGAGAAGCATATGATCAGTCAGATTGAAACAAGGTTGTCCTGGTTCCTGTGTTTGTAAGTGTTCTTAACTGAGAGCTGCCATTGATGGCATCGTGTCCTGCCTCCTGTACCAAATAAGAGGCTTAACAAGGAGTTGAGCCTCCTTTGTGGTGGTGGCTTGTGGTGGTCAAGGAGATAAAGCGTTTGCTTGTTTGACTCCCAGAGGGATGAGTGCTGTGAATCTCTCCAAATGGTATCAAGGAACTTTCCTTGGCAACCAGTGTTCTGAATTTTGTTCAGGTTTATCGGTCACTCCTACTGGTAGAGGTAGATAACACCACAGTCAGGGCCATTGAGACAGGCTTCTAACCTGTCAACCACAGAACGTCTATATACCAGCTGTATAGTGAACATCTGAGGCATCAGAGCACAGAGGCACACACACTCAGTCCCACCCTGTGGATGGGTTAGGATGGGTCAGGGCATAGTGGTGGCTGGCCGGAAGCTTGTCTCATTTCTCTGCTTGTAGCAATACCCCGCGTGAGAGAATCTCCTCTGGCACTTAATGAGCATTTAAGTTCAAGCACATAACACCTCGATGCCAGTTACGTATTTTCATGATAATAGTACATTGAATTGGGCCATTGGGACCCACCCACAGGGTCACTTTTTTCCTTTACTGCAAGATTTGCTCCAATCCTGTCAGTTACCTTTAGTCACTTTTTCCCCCTATGGAAACATGGACCAAGAAGTTTAACACTTTCACATTAGGGGCTTTAACAGTTGCCAAGAGTTGGTGTTATCTCCCTGACGGGTAGCTCAGGAAGGAGCAGAGGGTGAGGGCGGCAGGCAGGGAGGTTTTGTTTTTGGGGTGGTTTTTTTGACTCTGCATTTCAGTGTTGGTGCCAGCTTCTCCCCGTGCCCTTCCTAGTACCCGGAGAGCACCCAGGCTCCAGGGATCTTTTTCTCTGTCCTCCGCTGACCACTGCATCTCCCCAGTGCCCTGCAGTCCTGGGTACCTTGGGCCACCCTGTGCCCAGTAGCCACGTCCCTCAGGGACTGGGCAGCATGGTCCCTTGGGCACCTGTATCTAACAGAGCTATAAAAGTTTGAGTCACTTTCTTCCCCAGAGTTCCCCCGTTACACTTGGCTTTTTCCGTACAACAAATGACTTCAGGGTGGAGGGTGCTGGAGGTATTAAGTGTAGAGGGAGAGAACGGCTCCATGCCAGGAAGCAACACTTTGTGTTTACTTTTGGTTTTGATCAGCTGCCCAACTTGTGCTCAACAAGCTTGTATTTTTGGTCTACTCAGAGTTGTATATCTTCAGCCACCGGTGGTCCAGTGGTTAAGACTCCATGCTCCCAAGGGCAAGGGGTGCGGGTTTGACCCCTGGTCGAGGAACTAAGATCCCACATAAAAAAGTTGTATTTCTTCCTTGCTGACAGCGTTTCTTTCAGCTCTGGGGACCCCTTGACTTGGTGGCTGCAGCCGGTTTCTTCTCAGGTTGTGCCATGGGGCACGCTGCCTTGTTGTCATGTTCACATTCTTCCTTCTCCCACCCAGCGTGAGTGGGCAACAACCAAGACACCATTTGGTTGTATGACCTCTCTCTCATACTTAGTCTCCAAACGTTCATTAACAGGTAGACAGTAGGCAGCCCATAATCCCCTCCCCCTTACCCACTACTTGAGTGAAAGCATTCACTATGGAACCCATGGAATCATATCTCTTAACCCCACCCACTGGGGCTCATCTTTTCCAGAGAGCCGTGGTTCTCTCAAGTTAAAACTGGCAAGAACTATGCAGGGTCTGGGATTTTGCTCTGTTTACAAGCTAACAAGTTGGCCTATTAAAATTTCATGCAACACTGGCAGAAGACTCGAGACTCCTGGGTCAGAGACAAAGGACTTTATAAAAGTAACCAGAGCTTCATGTTAATTTATGTTGGTCCCCTGCGCTCTCAAGTCCCTCAGGGGTGACATAAGGAGCCCATGATGAATGTCAGCACACATGGTAGTTTGTGTTACAGTAGAGGAACACTGAGCTCAGGCGATTCACAACTTTTTCTTTTTTTTAATTTATTTTTGCTGTGTTGTGTCTTCTTTTCTGTGCGAGGGCTTTCTCTAGTTGTGGCAAGCGGGGGCCACTCTTCATCGCGGTGCATGTGCCTTTCACTATCCCGGCCTCTCGTTGCGGTGCACAGGCTCCAGACGCACAGGCTCAGTAGTTGTGGCTCACGGGGCTAGTTGCTCCGCGGCATGTGGGATCCTGCCAGACCAGGGCTCGAACCCGTGTCCCCTGCATTGGCAGGCAGATTCTCAACCACTGCGCCACCAGGGAAGCCCCCCGATTCACAACTTTTATAGTAAGCACAAGTAAGCCTATTCTTAGTCTGGAGAAAGATATTACATCATCATTCAAGGTTGCTCACTGCAAACACAGACTTGAGAAATGGCCTGGAAAAAGAGAACTCAATACCCAGCAAGGACATGCAGGGATGCTTCGAGCCCATGGCAGACTGCCTGTCCCAACAAAGTCTCTTTTGCTACTTAGCCATAAATTGAACATTATAAGGCCTGAATTTATGTGTGTAGTTTTTGGAAATGAATATTAGAAGAGCTCTGAGAAAATAATCGTATTAATTAAGTTACTGATTACCTATCATATTCCAGGCACCATTCTAAATTCTTTATGTATTGCATTAGTTTGCTAGGGTCACCTCAACAAAGTACCACATACTAGGTGGCTTAAACAACAGAAATTTATTTTTTCACAATTCTGGAGGCTAGAAGTCTGAGATCAAGGTGTGGGCAGGGCTGGTTTCTTCTGTGGCCTCTCTCCTTGACTTGTAGATGGCTGTCTTTTCCCCGTGTCTTCATAACATCTTCCCTCTGTACCTATCTTTGTCCAAATTTCCTCATCTTGTAAGGACACCAGTCATATTGGGTTAAGGCCTACCCTAGTGACCACATTTTAACTTAAGTACCTCTTTCAGGACCCTATCTCCAAATACAGTCACATTTTGAGGTACTGGGGTTTAGGACCTCAGGGTATGAATTGGCGGAGGAACACAATTCAGCCCATAACTCATATGTAGTCTCAATCTTTGCAACATCTATTTTCTGCATTTTATGGTTGAGGAAATTAGCTTAATGAGGTTAAGAAACTTGCCCAAGT